GTGGGTGGCACGCCACCAATAAAAGCTTTGTATTTAGAGGTCCTTGGGATAGCCAACTTCACCACATACTGATGGGATGCCCATGAGGTTTTTGTGGTTCTCAAATAACTTCTCCTAGCTGGAATGAGGCTGGCCAGATTGTCGGAACATTTCCCATGGTGATAGCGATAGAATAGAGAGACCTTTTCTGCCACACCTGATCAAGAATCTTGGAGATGTCCAATGCTAAAATACTGGATTCGCCATGTATTTCGAAGGACGAGTTCCAAATAGGACTGACGTACGCCAGCAGATCCCCTATTGATCTTTTAGAACGAAATCTGTACTGTTTGTCAGAGATGAGGTCATTGGCTTTCGATAGTAAGGATATAAGTGAGCTGGGACGATAATTGCTAGGAAAAGTTTTCTTGACCTTTCTCCGGATGGACTGCAATCTGGCACATTTACAGATAGAAACGTCTCAACTGTAAGAGAGTGAAAACAGTTTACAGAGAACTGAAGCCAATTCTTGTACGCAAGTTTTGAGGACAATCGGTGGAATACCATCGGAACCACAAGATTTTCCCAGTGTCAAGTTGCAGAAGAATTTCCCTAATAGTTTAAGGTCTGAATACAACCTTGTCCATGTAAAAGCCAATGTGTGGCAGTACCTGTGACGCTCTGCCATTATCCTCCATCGTGGAATTGGATGCAAATTGTTTGGCAAACACATCTGCTTTTTCCGATATGGAATTATTGTCGTTAACTAAAGGTGGAATTAAAAATGTGATTTTTTTTCCCATGATCTTGACAGAGGACCAATAGGATCTTGATCCGCTCGGTCAGTCTAAAAGTCGATTACGCACTTGTTGGTTGTGTAACTTTTTAGCCTCGTTGGTTTTACGGTTGAAATCATTTCTGGCAGCATTAAAGGACGATCTACTTTGTTCGCATTGGTTTCTACGCTAGGCACTGTTCTTTTTTGCAACCGCCTAGGCACACTGCTTGTTAAGCCGGGTTTTCCGACGCAAGTGGTTTTATTGGACTGTGGAATGTACAATTCCATACTTAAGCGAAATAATTTCGGTAACCTCTTGTGCAGCCTCGGAGGAATCTTTTTATTCAAATCAAACATCGAACCTCGGAAACGTCGAGAGAAAGAGTTTTAGGCCTTCCCAGTCTGCAGTTCCATAATGCCATACCCTACGAGGCATTGGAGCCGGAGCTGAAGGTATAACAAACAAACTGCGAGCGGAAATCAATTTGTGGTCTGATTTGCTCGAAGGCATATCACACATCTATTTTGAATGGTATATACAGGGTTATTCGCTTTCAAATAATTATCTTGTTTCTATCTAAAAATAAAAAATGTGCCGTTTTATTGAGTTAATTGCACTAAACATTCAAGAGAAACATTAAATAATATTTACTCAGCTACTTGCCAAATTCTTATTATGTTATGAGTACATTAATTTTTGTTACAAGTTTCTCAAAACACTAAAATCACCTCGAAGATTTTGCACACTCACACTTCACGTATCACGCAATTTTTGTAAAACGGTCACAATAGCTGCTCTCGGAAAGTGTGATCGATCCAGGATTTACATTTCCGAAAGCACCTAATGTACTTTTATCAGGTGGGTGCCGTCCTATTGGGAAATCTTCCCCTGTAAATTTTGACGGCTAAATGAGCATTTTGTAACATATCTGCATATTCGACGTATGAATTACAGGCGTTTCCGATACTTCAACTAAGTGACTAGCAATGTGCCGTTGCCGGCAATTTCAAATTGAGGCAATATTCTCTTGGCAATATTGTCACATTCTGGCAATAATGCCAAAAAATTGGGAATATAAGGTTCATTAAGCTGTGGTGGTATCAATTTGCTGTGCGTTTGTTACAACGTTTAAAGAAATAAGTAAAGAACGTGCAAAAATAAACTTTATTCTTAGAAATATACTCATAACAAAAAATATGACCCTGAGAACTGCCTAAATAAGGAAAAAAACAAACAAATAACCAAAACTCACATTGCAAAACTATCAATTTATATGTACATTCATTCTGATTCCAAAACGTCTTGCAACTCCGACTCCAGATCTGACTCTGACTGAGATGTATATGAGCACGACGAAGGCGAAGATGATGTTGACAGAGACATAGAATCTGCATCAACAGCAGTGTGACTTGTACTTGGTTTATCAGTAATTGCAATTACAGTTTCGGGCAGGCCAACTGTTACATTGTCTTGCTGGGAGATTTCATTGCCACCAATTTTCAGTTTATCAGTCTGGCAAACTCTGTTCATAGATTTCCAGTTATGAGCGATGTAGCATAGTTTTCCAGCTCTGGTAGTTGTCAGTTTATGTCTTTTTTTGTTATGAACGTAACTAAATGTGCTGAAAGATCGATCTACCGACGCGGAAGTTGAAGGTATTGTTAGAATTCGCACTGCAACTTTTCCTAAGTCAGTCTGGTGATAAAATGTCTTCCACCACACAACAGGCTGCAGTTTTTCTACTGCCTTCCAGACAAAATCTTTTGTCCAAAGTCCCTCACGAGTTCTGTAGCTTGCAAGCTCCTGCATAATATTTTGATCGTCTATATTTGTCATATTTTCCGCAATTTTCAAGATCATTTCGCAAGTATCGATTTGCTCAGCCGCTGACAGGGTGACTCCTTGATCGCCAGGATTCAAAAGACAAGCAGCTAGATGAACCGGCTTTAAGGCATTTTGCCTTCTTTCTTCGAATTTAGTCTTAATGACCTCTGCTTCAATGGGTGAGTCAACAACCCAGGGCAAAACGGAATATATTGCTTCAGTTATTTCAGTAAATGCATTCCGTACCATGTGAATACTGTTGTAGTCGCCTTCCAGACGTGTAATCCAGTCGACGACTGGCTTCAGAAGATTTCTCATAGAATCCAGATACAACCAGAAGTTATCGTCCAATATTTTATCTTTTATATTTTTTGGTAAGCATTGTGTTTGTTCTTCATTTATAGCCATAAGTCGCAAAACACTTTTACTTGCAGCTAAGCTGTTCAGACAAAATAGGTAACTGCCCCACCGAGTTTTCACTGGCAAGTACAAAGCTGTGTTGTTGTTTTTTTTCGCGGCTTATTCGTTTGAATTCAGCGGCAAAAATCTGGGAACGTCGTACGGTTTTTACGATGTCTACAGTACTAGCAAAAAAATCGTTTACAGTTCTTGCCTTCAGGATATCACCAATTCCTAAATGCAGAGTGTGGGCCATACAGCCAATCCATATTACGTGATTGTATTTATCATTAAGAAGTTTGCCCATTTTCACCATATTCGACGCATTGTCCGAAATAACAGCCAATATTTTGTCTGCTCCTACTTTTTCGATTATTTCAATTACTTTAGACAACAAATATTCAGCAGTATGCCTGTTGTGTGCGGTTTCAACAAATGAATAGAAATATGGAGTGGGCGTATACACAATAAAATTTATGATACTTTCGTTTCGGATATTTGACCAACCATCTAATGCTAAGTTTAAATATTTTGAACGACTTATGTTTTCATCAACTTTTTGTTTAACTTTGTTATATTCTTTGTCCAAAAGAGTAGTAGACAGCACCTTTCTCGATGGTATGTTATAAGCTGGTCGCATATTATGGAAGACTTCTTCCCTCAACGGATGATCCAGTAGTGACAAAGGTGCGCCGGTTGCGTAAAGGGCACGTGCCAAAAGTTCGTTTAGTTTGTTCTGAAAACAAACAGCAGATTGATGTGAAGTTAACTAAAATCAGTGTAATCAAGGAAAAATACCTGTTCCTTGTTGTCAATAGTGTCGACAAATGAAGAGAGGATTGGTGGTGTGAAAGTAGTAGACGATGATAGTTTACTACTAGCATCACTAGCGGTGGCGGTAGAGGCACACGCACTTACATTACTTACGATTACGGAACCACCTTCTGTTTCTTCATGTTCCTGTAAAAAATTCAATTTAATTACCATGAAGAAAATATTTCTTTGCTAACTTACCAAAGTCATAAATTGCTGATGTATATTAAAGGACTGCTGTAAATTCGTTGGAGTTCTTCTGGAAACATAGCTATTCTTAACTGTTAACGGGCACTTGTTACATTTTTGGATGTGTCTCGAAAACTTTGTTGCATTCTTATTGGTGTAAATTTTGTTGCAGTATTTGCATTCGAAAATAATCTTGTTGCCTTTTTTCTTTTCATTGTACAGTTTCCAAATATCACTTTTTGGTTTCATATTCACCACTTAAAATTACACGCACATTAAACAAAAAGCAAATTACGCATCAGCAGAGATGCCGGCCTACGGTCGACCACATCCACAACTGCAACTGGCGCAGGCACAAACGTGCAAGCATGGACAGAAAATTTGCACACGGCACCAAGGGCAATATTGCTGGACATATTCCCGAATTTTCGGCAATATTCCCGGGAATTTTTTCGTCTTCGGCAACATTTCCATTTTTTTATATTCCCACAATTTGGCAATATTGCCAGGCCTCTGACAACTTACCGGGAATATTCCCAGTTAGAAATATTGCCTAATTGGCAAAGTTGCCGGCGGCACATTGCTATAAGTGACATAACAAGACAAATCAAGAATCAATTAATCAGTTCAACCTAAGGTTTAACCACCCATTCTTTATTGTGCTATGCTGCCAGATGTTCAGCCGAATTACGAGTGAAATAATCATATTATTTACAAGCGTTTGGTTATGACGTCCTTACATAACCATTTTTCTAGTATTTGAGTTATGTCATGAGAATAATAATACAACTAGTGGTGTTATCGACTAGGTTATGATTATGTTAACACAACTATTTTTGGTGATTTGAAATGTCAAAGTTAAACTGTAAAAGTAAAATGAAGGTAGACAACTACTAATAATAATGGTCTACCACAGATGAAGTTCTTTTCAAATATTTAGAGGAATATATTTCATAAAATTGTCACAGTCTTTTATATCAATATTTATATGCATACTTATTAAAAATGCGTACTTACCCACAAGAAGCCTAAGCAGCGAACCCACTAGTTGAACATTATAGTCGGAGATAGATATGATAGTCACCATAATAAGATTCTCCTTAATTGGCAAGTAATATTTACAAACTTAGAATGGAGTGCATAAATAGTAATGGAAGCATTTTCATTTTGTAGTAAGTAGTTAGTTTCAGTCTAAGCATAGGACTAACATTATTTCATTACTATGGATTATGGATTGATGTTCAATTGATCATAGTTGCCTGCTGGTGCACCTGAAAAGAAATAAAAGTATATGGAATATACCGATAAAAATAATAATTTAAATTTTATTGAATAATAGATGAATTTATTGAGGGGGGTACATCTAGCGAAAAAACTATGCTTAAAAGGGAAATGTTACTGACAATAAAACAAGATATTTTGCACAAATATCTTTAGCTTGTTTTAGTATTTCACATTTCTTATAAATACAGTATCCGCCAAAATAAACAGTACCGAACATACAAATTATATCATTTATTAATTTGTATCATGCGTATATGTTCAAAAAATGCATCATAGCTACGCAAAAAAGCTTCATAACAATGCTGCAAATCCTTAAAAATATTTATTAGGAGTGGTTGCTGAAAATTTTCCAAAACTTGTCTCAAACTTGAGCTTTTATTCCTTCCAACTCCGTATGACCGGAAATAGTGCTCTACTAAAAAAACTGGTTCTTCAGTTGAAAGGTACATAATGACGAAGATTTTAACCTTAACTTAATGTCAACCTCATAACTGATGCGAAATATGATGCAACTCTCTGAGTAATTGCAACTTGCGTGCGCAATTAGTCAGAGCTCTAGATTTCCGTACTGTTTATTTTGGCGGATACCGTATTTGGTTATCTGATATTCTTGTTATTTGTTTCTATTCACCCTAATGCTCTAAACTTAAAAATAAAATATATCATAATATCAAATTAGATATTTGTTCTAGTAATCCTAAAGACCTAAATTATCATCTAAAAACATTTCAATTAGATTTGAGACGCAAATGATTGTGGACCTCTTCGCCTCTTCAATATCACATTTACCGTTTTCTATATTGTATCTCGTAGGCATGCTTCCCTAAGGTTCCTGTGTCCTTACTTATGGGGTCATTTTCATGGTCTTTGATGGATAGTGCCTATCTTCCCTGATGACTCCTCGACATGGAAGTAGTATCTACAGGTTTCTTTATGTTGAATTTTTACCTTATATTTTATATTTTTTATTGAGCATCACCCAATTGGGATGTTTCATTTCCAGGTTTAGTTCGCTGTTTGGCTAAGCCTGTGAGTTGTCAGAGCAGAAGACTCAATGAAGTCAATCAATATTGTATATTTTTTTATTGAGCATTTCCTAATAAATGGAATGACTCATTTATATGTTCAGTTTGCTGTCCGGTTGAACATATGAGTTTTAAGGGCAGATAGACCAGTAAAGGGTCACAATTTAAATAAAATGATCGATCATTATTATTTTACAGAATAATATTTAGTTAAGGGTGATACTGGGTTGGAATCTAATTATTCTTACATTCATGATTTTCAAAAAATTGACATAGTAGATTTTGTATCTTTCCATTAAACTTTTATTAAACATAATTAAGTGGAGAGCGTTGCTGTATTATTTCTTTTTATTCTTAATATTTCAGATTTAATTTTGAGGTCTATTTTGAAGTTTGAGACCTTATAAATAAAAACTTCGTGGCGCCCTTACTAAACACCCCTTAAACACGACCATAAATGCTTTCCGATGAATAGCTGCCGTAAGCAATAACACCTTTTTAATCCAAAGTAATTAAAAACGTTACAAACTCTACAGTTTTTCAACGCCGGAGACCATTTTTTATTGTGGCGTTATTCAATTCAATTCCAGACTCGCTCTGAAGGCCTGGTCGAGACATTATATTTATTTTTACAACGTTGTCATTTTACTTTTTATTACTTTATCTTATTTACCTTGCATGTTTTATCTTTAGGTCAGGTTCGATTAATTAGAGAACATTATAGTTATGCGGATGATACAGTCTAAATAATATAGTGTAAGGGAACTGATATAGAGCTTTTGGTTACCACAATTAATAATGACTGATGTTATTCAAACAAAAAAAAATACTGTTATTTCGGAAATATCTTTGAAAATTGCGAACATTAAGCTTTCTCGAGTAGAGTCAGTAAATACTCGGGTTTAACGATAGATGATAAATTGAACTGGGATAGTCAAATTAAAAAAATAAATGACAAAATTGCCCTACTAATGCTTAGGGCTCTATACGGATGTACTAATTACCTGAATACAGCAAATCGCTATATTATGATCTATAACGCCTATATTGTTTGAAATATACAATACCCAATTAATATTTAGGGGATATGTCGAAAAACAATCTTTTAAAAATTGAAACACTGCAAAATAAAGCTATAAAAATAATTTGTCAGAAAGCCTTTCTTACACCAACAACTAAGCTTTTTGAAAATACTACACTGTATCCAGTGAGATATATTCTTGAACTTGAAGAATGTAAAAAAATCTTTAAAATTCCAACCAGCGGACATAAAATGTAATAGCAATTTGACATTTAATAGCGATAGTGATATTCACAACATTAGGTTTGTTTCTGCAGAAATCACAAATCAGTCAGAACGAATTTGATTGGTTGAAAACAGTCAGAAACAGCCAGAAAACTAGTTCCAACCAATGAAAATCACTCTGACTGGTTTGTGATTTCTGCACAAACAGACCTTATAATACCAGAAACAACAGTAATACATATTTATCTTGCAAACGTTAGAACAAACACAGCGCTTCATAATCACTTAACTCAAGCCATATTAGCTTTTAATTTGATACCTTCAAAGATAACTAACTTGAAGATACATTTGATTTGAACCAATTAAAAATATATTTAAAGAGTAAAAACATGGTGTCCGTAAGAGGTACGAGGTCGGTTAAATTAGAAAAAAGTTGTCCTTTTTAATGTTCATTTAAGACTCGTCGACAGTGTTGTCAAATTTCATTTAGTTTATGAAATACAGGGTGATTTCTAAGAAACGCCTAATAATATTCCTCAATTATTTCGAAAACTATTGATTTTCGGGACACAATTTAAATTTGAAAGTTTCATAATTTTTATCGCTCTACAACAGGTAGTGGTGCCGCGAGACGAGACTAGACGAGACTTGGGGTTGGTCTCGTCTCGTCTTGACATCTCGAGACGAGACCATGACTAAGTCTCGGTCTCGAGTACCAAAGTCTCGTCTCGTCTCGGGTGGTCTCGAGTTAAACAGGGTGTCCAGAAAATAGCGTGAAAAGTCTTCATTACGTGGCGGAGGACCCTTCAAGGAAACTCAGAAAAATAATTTAAAAAATCTAGTGGCATCTTAAGAAAGTTATTTGCATTTTAATATTAATTAAATTTGACAACACTGAAAATATCCCGTTGACAATATGTCAGAGAATTGAATTAAATACCTATGTGAATACCTGTAGAACTCGAAGGTGAATTTCCACATTCACCTCTTCATATTACCAAGAATGATGCTGGGGAAGAATTTTTTTAATAATTTTTCTAGGGTTTCTCAAAGGGTCCCATACTACGTGGAGAGCTTTTACGCTATTTCTTGGATACCCTGTATTTATCGTTTTTATTTTTATATTATAACGAAAGTACACACTGCCGCAGTGAAATAGTATATTACATACCGAATAGGGAAGTGTTTCATTTCTGTCGAGACATTGACTATTAATCTCGAGACAGAAATGAAAACTTTCCTTTGAGGTTTGTATACTATTTTATTTGCAAGCACACCATTAATTGTGATTAGTCATTCAATTTTTTTAATATTAAAAAAATAAAACAAACATGCCAAAATTTGTCATTCACTGTTTTGACGTTTTTACCTGACGTGTTCTCATTGTTGCCAGCAAAGGTAAATAAATTACAGTGAGGGAAATCGGTGAGGGAAGTCGAATAGGGAAATCGGTGAGGGAAATCGAAGAGGGAAGTGACACAAGTAAAGTGACACTTCCAAATTTTTAAAGAACCAGTAATGTCAAGATTACATATATGATTGCAAATAAAAGCAATTACTTAAAGAGTGAAAAGTCACAGTAACGACACAAACGTCAAATAAAAAAAAAATATCGGATAAATCAGTTTTTGAAAAAAGGATCACCCTGTAATTTTTTGTGTGAAGTAATGCTTTCTACATACTTTATCTTTAGATCTAACTCCCAGTATAGCCGAAAGTGCTTATGCTTTAAACATTTTTTTAAATTGATCTCACTACTGGCTAAACCGAAAGTGAAATCTGGAAATTAAGTAGGTATGTAGAAATCATCCCAGTAATTGTTAGTATTATAGGAGACTGTATAATATATTTAAGCTCGAGAGTGTTTATAAAATTTACTCCTATAAAACCTTTAAATTTTTCAATTAAAAAGTGAAAATAAAAAAGTAACAAGTATAAGAAGATTCCTTGTGTTATGGAGACACCTGTAAGCAAAAAGGTAGGCCGAAATATCATTACATAATCCACAAATACTACCAAAATCACTAAAAACCACCATAAGTAAATTCCATTTTTGCGATAACATAAGGTGGATTTTCGCAAATTCAGACTATACTGGCCACGCCTCGACCTTGACCTACCCTACAGACTTGAGAGAACGTGACACTATAGGAGTACCAGTGGTACCATCCAAATTCAGTCATCTATTCACTGCAAGAGAAACTGTACGAAACTGCATCAAAATTAGTAAAAAAAAAACATCGCTCGATCTGTGCAAATGGGGGAGCCAACAACTTTAACTCAAATGTATAAGTTACTTACCGAAACTATACAGAAACAAACAGTATCACTCACAAAACAAATTCAAAACAGTGAAAAGAACGTAAAGAATAAAATACATAATACAAACGTACAAATAGAGAAAATTCAGTAAAAGTAAGTCCTTCTAGATAGGAGAGCTCGCCGGAATAATATTCTATTTTATGGATTTGAAGTCGAAAACCAAAACAATTTAATAAACGAGACATTATCCAAACTAAATGATCTGTTTTCAATAAACGTGAAAACCAACGATATTAACAATCTATACAAAGTTGGGAAAACGGAATCGGCCCCAATTCTTATCGAGTTTGTTTCTTATCTCAAAAAAACTGAGCTGTTTAAAGATCCACAGAAACTCCGGAATCTAAAAGGAACTGGCTACGCAATCTCGAATGACTTATGCGAGGAGGACAGA